CCGAGTATACTTTACAGTGTGAGGATCAAAATATACGTAAGAGATACGTAATAAGATCATCTTCACCATCACGTTATAAATTCTTAAACACTGTTTACAAAAGAAAGACCACTGAAGTTATTATATTAAAAACCTGATTTTAATAAGAATAAGCATTGCATGGGAAAATGTAATCAAATGAACGAAAAATGGAACGATATTCACACGAAAGATTAAGAAAAAGTTCTGATGCTGGAAAGACACAGTTTTGTTTCCAATTTAGATTTTAAATATGCAGATTTAAAAAAGTAATAATTTATTGAATGTCATCAGCTTTATTGATAATTTGAACACTTTTCTTGTGTAAGAATGTATTTCGAAAAAGGAAGTGCAATGAAGATTTTCCTAGATAGAGCTACATATCGCTTTAAAGTGAAACTTTCAAATGTTTATCCTCTATTTGAAGGTAATTTTGATCCGTTGTTGAGCTCTGATACTCATTTACCCAAACAATCCTAATTCAGCTTTTGCGTAGCTAGAAATTGTATAAACTTTAAAAAAAGAAGAAAGAAAGTAGAGTCTCAAAGGCAAAGTATAATTCTGCGACAAGCAATTCAGTTGATTTGACCTAAACACGAGCACATGCCATCCTAGGGGACTGGGGAGAGTTATTGTCTACGATGAAAGCAGCCCGCTTTAATATTGGCGTTGATTTCGGAGATTCACACAGTGAAGCATCGGAATGCCTCATAAAATATATATGATGATGATGTTTTTTCATTTCGGTAATATTTCGCTCTACTCCATAGAAACTCATTGGGATGGATTCCTGACTTTGAGTTCTATGTCTTTTCGATAACAAGCACAGATATTTTACATATAACCAAGCCTTCTGGTTTCTGTACAAAAACAGCGTAGCGTTTATCGATGCATTTAGGAACACACAGACTGAGCTTAGATAGTAGATAAAACGAACTGTCCGTGGGGATGGTATTTTCTTTACAAATGTATACCATCCTGTCCAAAAGTCCATCGCAATGTATGGAGCATAGCATATCATTCCAGTCACCAATATAATTGATATTGTTTTGATAAACTCGCGTAAATACCTTGGTGTTCTTGAGTTAAACTTTGTGGTAATTCTGTAAGTCTCTGAAGTTTGAAACGCTTTCCTAAAAGAGTTATTGTGCACACTAATGTCGTGATAAAGCTTGAGATACGCAGCGTAAACAACAAATACGATCAAGACATTTATAGTCATCATTATAATTTTACCGTAAAGGTTTTTTGTCACCGTAAAGTAGTCGACCGAGACAAGGCCGTGCAGAAATGACAAGGCGGAAAATATAGCAACGACAAAGCGGGATACAAGCTTCGATTGGACCTGCTTGGCAAAAGAAAGCATTGTTAAGTCTGGCCTGACACTGAAGTAGCGATCTATTGCCAGTGCAAGTATTGCATACCCTATCATGTGACCATTGAATTGTGCAGTACAAACCGCAAGTTTCTCGAGTATACAGAATCTTTCTTTGCGATACAAAGTAAAAAGCACGACGTACATTGGAAATCCAGTCAAGCCACTTAGAACTCCAATAATTGACGAGACAAAAATGTACAAATTACATGATGACTTGAACTGTCCTGTGTTCATCATACCAATGAATAATAAAACATTCGATATTATTGTGGGCAATATAACAAGAGCAACAGCTATGGCGTAGACGTATGACTGACAATCCAGCAAGAGCAACCTCCACGCCAAAGTGTTTGGGCAATTTTTGAAAAAGTCGTCATAACTTCTATTGGGCTGTAATGTTGAATTTGAAAACATAACTATAAGGAGATTTCCATCACAAAGAGGCGTTGTAAACTTGACCTCTTTGAATCCCGGACCAATACTGCTCATTTTGCAGTAGTTTATACCAATAAACCATTCATGTTTACTAGAAAAATAATGCTAAATTAGCTTCAACATAGATAAAAATTATAAATTTAAAAACGTTTCAGATGTTACAAAGACGGAACGTTACACGACACAGAACAGAATGTTTAAAAAGGTTTTAATTACTAATTAAATTTTATTAAAAAAAATTAGCTACCCCAACCTTGAATACTTTTGTTGCAAAACTAGATGCAGTATTGTTAGTTTGTAATAACAAAGTCGATCAAACAGAGGCATTACTTGCAGTAAAGACATTCCTAATTTTATTAATCCACATTTATCAAGGCATTTGTGTTCCAGTCATCATAAGAAGATTTTTGGTATCGTTGTTCTTATTTATGGTCTTTTATGTACATGGTGAGATATGTATAGTTACCTTTAAAAGCATCGTAGCATCAACATCGTAGACAGTTGATGACGAATTGATAGTTTGTAATAATAGCATCGGTGAAACAGAGACATAACTTGCTGTTAAGACAACTTTATTTACTTATATTTATCGAGGCATTTGTGTTCCAGGCATCATAAGAAGGTTTATGGTCTTTTATGTACATGGTGTGATATGTATAGTTACCTTCAAAAGCAAAGATTTGCCAACATTTTCCGGGTTGAAGGTGTTCACATCGTAGACAGTTATTCAAATGTTGAAATCGTCAGATAATCCTCGATTGAAACAAAAACGTAAAATTGATACAGGTATCTGAGAATGCCGTGAAATCGAGAAACCAGCCTCTCAAACCAGAGCAACTTTGATGGTGTACAGTCAGCGAAAATAACTGTAACTTTGAGAAAACAAAAATTTGATTCGACAGGTCATCACGACGTCATGCGTAGGTGACGCGATTTTAATAAAAAGGACTACGTACTTTACTGATACTTACATTGAAGTCAGAAAATAATAGGTACTACATACTATTCAAGTCACAATCACACCTGAAAGCGTGAATGATTTATGAATGCCAATTTTCTTTTCTTATTCACTTTTCTTACCAAAAAGGGCGGCATCCTGTACCTGAATAATTCATACACCTGCTTTCAACCCAATTGCCGTCGCAAGAGGGCGGATCTTAAAGTAAGTTCAAGAAAACACGACATATTTTTTACGTGCGCTAGTTCCTATGTTGACGACTTCATTGCAGGGTAGATCCTTGCACAATGGGCTAACTAAGTTCCATACACAAAGAAAGAAAGCAAGTGTCCTCTCAGCAACATAAATACGTAGACGAAAATGTCTTTAGTTCCGCCGCTAATAAAAATAAATAAGTATAAGTATTAAAAAAAGTTTAAATTATATCAGCTTGGAAGAGTAACGCGCCTGTCGACAACGCCAATTGATATTTAAGTACTTAATTAAAAGTTTTACTATAATTGCATAGTTATTCACTCCAATGAATAGTTAAGCTAAAAATCTATCTTTATATAAGAAATATTATTTTCCAATGAGAATAGATAGGCATTCTGCTTCTGAGCGAAATTGCATTTTTGAAAGGAAAGTGCGGCTCACAGAACCAAAGGGCCTAAACCGACTTGTTTTTAAAACAGAAGTTCGGCGCTAAGTGCTTTTTGAAACAAACGCTTTCGCCACGAAATTTTTTGCGTAATTCCAATGGCTTTTGTATGAAAAAACTTTGAAGGATTACCTTACTGTTTTGTGGGTTAAAAGTCAGGGAAACGTTGGACCGGCGCTTCAGAAAATTTCTGGAAATTATTTGCGAGAGTTACATGTAAAAATGCCTCAAAGTACAGATGATATTTAAGAAGTATAAGATAATTTCATTAAACTTGAAACTTAATACGTGCACCTTTGTTCTGACTTTAAATATATTACCGAGAAGATCATTTTGGCTGAGATATCAGGCTTTAGTGTACTAAAAGTGATATCAGGTGAACAATTTCTAAAACTGTCATTTAGTGATTGTTTGCTTGCTAAATAACGTAGACGCTTTTGGTGTAGAAGATTCTTTTCATTAATTTCAAAAGCATAATAAACGTTGAACGTTTTAATTTAATTTCTTGATTGTCATGTTCTTATATAATGAACAAATCCGAAGTTAAGATAAACAAGTCATTAGCATCAAATGTAGAGCAACTCGCCTTGTGTCAGTATTGAAACTTTAAAATTAAAGTGCACTGCTAACATAACTTTTTCAGTTATCATTTTTCATGCGAAAGAAGCTTTGTTTGCTTCAAATTTTAACATTTTTCGTTCACGTTTCTTCAATAAAGGGAAACTTTGTGGTCATCTTTCATGAATATTCAGAGAATCTTTTACAAAATTGTTTTGAAGCAATGATTCAAAGTTTTGCTGAATTTTCCCCCTCAAAACAGCAAACCAACCATTAAATCTTCTTAAAACCGAAAGTCGAAGGAATGACGAATGAATTTTCCTGCCATAACATAACGTTTCCAAGCCCCTTCACCTCATAATTTTGACTTTGAAATTGGTGGGCTTAGGCCCGTGGTCACTGTGAGTCGGCATTTTGACCTTAGTCCAGTCGCTTAACTCCAATTTTTGGTCAGATTGTGACTGACTGGAACAAAGCACCAAACTTTTCATGGTGGTACCTAGGGGCATGGACAACACTTCAGAAGGGGCACCGCTTTCTATCGATTCCGGGGGGCAAGCTAGAGATTCAATTCTCACGACGTCATACTCTCTGGAAATCTCCGATAAGGTTTTTGGTGATGATTTATGCCAGGTTGCGTCAATTGGGAGAGCTGAGATGACTGATTTATTACTGTAGAAGATTTATATGAAAAACAACTTTTTCTATTGCAGTATATTTAAAATTTCTCAAAACGGGGGTTCAACACATAGACGCACAGAGATCACTAAAACTTTGCCTTGGTTTGGTAAAGGTTGAACCGGAACAGCCAGCAAGTTAAGAAGTTCTGATTCAGTAGTTCACTAAAAAAATTTCAGCGTTAGCTGTAGACACATCTAGAAAAGAACCTATTTCTTTTATTGAAGCCATAGCGTTAAGATAAGGAAAAGCTAGCAGAACCGTTTTGAAGATTCTTCTCCCGAACAATCTATTTTTTTGCTTGCGCGTGACTGTTGAATTTGAAGCAGAGTAGGGTAAAGGTATTGCTGCATGTAATAAAATATTGACAAGAATTGCACAGAAAATGCTAAAGGAATGATGCTTTATTGTAAAACGATGGCAAGAAAATTGCACACTCTGGGCGAGTTTGTAAAAAAAAGTATGTCAATGAGTAATTACTACGTAAAACTCCAAGTAGCGGGTAGTTTTCAGGAGGGGGGACAGGACTGTTACAATCTACTTGGCAAGCAAAAGATATGCAGCTAGTGTTCGCATTTGATTAAACTGGTTTTCGTAATAACTTAGCCTAAACTTTCTGTTGAAAGTATTGCTATTTATAGGCATACTGCATACTTTATGTCTGAAAAGGCAGACAGCAAAACGATTCAGCAGACGATTACCAAAGTTTCAAGGAAGCTTTCTTAGTAGATTTAGCTATGAAAAGAAGATATGAAATTTTCGTGCAGTTGTATGGAAAATACATTTTGTGAAAGCATCTGCAAGTTGGCGTAGAGATTCAAGGAGATGAGCTTAATTCCGTTGAGCAAGATTATTCTCAGCTGAAAAGAAGTAAACGCAAAACTGAAGGCAACTATACAGAAGTTGAATAACAAAACAGCGCCACAGAGCAAGTCAAGGTCGCTTGCAAGGACTGTTTAATATGCGCTATCGGAATTTAGACAGCACGAGTTGGCCTAAGACAAGACTTACATGGTCTTATGCACATTTTCAGTCACTTTAGTCAACTTCGAAGTTTGTTTTTCAAAATATGTTGCTGAACAGTTTAAAATAAATGAAAACATTATAGATCGTCTGGCTCAAACAGTCAAAGAATAGCAAAATTGCTTTTATAAAGAAAAAAATGAAATGCAAGTCAGATAGAATGTTTCCTATTTCATGTTAATTTTTATTTAGAGTGATTAGCCCTTATGTGTAACCAATTTTCAACTTGGCTATGTTATGTTGCCTAGCAATTCATGGATTATGATAGAATGGTCACTTGACTATGCCTTAGTTTATCAAATCACACCGGCCAAAGCCCCTTTCGGAGCATTTAAATGCGTATTATGGGTGAACAATGAAAGGACGTGAAAAATTATAAAAACAAAATTCTAATGAGAATGGTTCACCACAATGTCCCTTTAGAGGAAGAACATTGGTCGCAGCACCCCTTACTTTGAAGGTAGGAGGGTTGATTCATTTTCGGTCTTTTTTCTTCATTAGTTAAGTATCGTCATCATCTTCATTCCTATCATTCTAGCATGATAAATATTCAAAATTATTTACAATTGCAGTATTATTTTTTCTAACCGAAAGGAATTGAGCTCTGATACTCAGCTACCCAGACAATCCTAATTCAGCTTTTGCGTAGCTAAAAATTGTAAAAACTTTAAATAAAGATAGTAAAGTCTCAAAGGCAAAGTCTAATTCTGCGACAAGCAATTCAGTTGATTTGTACTAAACACGAGCACATGCGAACCTAGGGGACTGGGGAGAGTTATTGTCTACGATGAAAGCAGCCCGCTTTAATATTGGCGTTGATTTCGGAGATTCACACAGTGAAGCGTCAGAATGCCTCATAAAGTATGTATGGTGATGATGACTTTCCATTTCGGCCACATTTCGCTCTACTCCATAAAAACTCATTGGGATGGATTCCTGACTTTGAGTTCTATGTCTTTTCGATAACAAGAACAGATGTTTTACATATAACCAAGCCTTCTGGTTTCTGTACAAAAACAGCATAGCGTTTATCGATGCATTTAGGAACACACAGACTGAGCTTAGATAGTAGATAAAACGAAC